GACAAACACAGAGGACAGCACGCTAAGTGAAATCAGCCAGTCACACAAGGACAGATGCTGCAGGGTTCCACTGACATGAAGTATCTGCAGTGGTAAAATTCATAGAAGCAGAAGACAGAATGGTGGGGCTTGGCGGGGGGAGAGGTGGGAAAGCTTTGCGCAGTGGATCAGGTTATGCAGACAGGTGAGTTCTACCCATCGCCTCCAGCCAACTACTTGGTATTATGCACTTTAAAATGCGTTGGGAGAACAGACCTGCTGTTTTCTCATCTCTCGCACAGCCCTGGAACCCCAACTCGTGGCGCAGAGATGAGAGACGCACCTGGAATGGTGTTAATGGCGCCCATCAGCTGGTCCACATCAGAGAAGTCCAAGGTCTGGTCTTCAAAGTCAGGCTGTGCAGAGATTTCCCCGTCTGTTTCTGTTTTCAGGAATTCCCCAAGTCTGGTGGTAAAAAAGACCGGCCCACAGCATGGAGGGACCTTCTCCCTAGGTGGGATCCACAGTGCTGGCCTCGAGCAGTTAACAAAGGGCTCTTTGCTCAGCCTGCATTGTGTTTTTGTTTTTGTTTTTGTTTTGCAGTACTGGGGCTTGAACTCAGACCCTTCATCTTGTGCCACTCCATCAGCCCTTTTTTTGTGATGGGTTTTTTTGAGACAGGGTCTTGCAAACTATTTGCCCAGGCTGGCTTTGAACCGTAATCCTCCTGATCTCTGCCTCCTGAGTAGCTAGGATTACAGGCGTGAGCTTCCGAGCCTGGCATCAATCTGCATTTCTTAACATGCTGCTGTCTGCCTCCTGCCCTCTGTGTTTGGTTTGTGCCTTCCAGAGGAGAAGGGCAGGGTCGTGTCTGAGGTGGCTGGGAGCACATACACCAAATAGGCAATTCCACACCCTTTGCAGGAAACTCCCACACCCCCCACACCCATCCCAAGACTGCTGGGCTTCCTCGCTCATGGCTGAGCGACCCCTGACCTCAGAGCTCGGAGTCCATTTCTCTTTTTTTTTTTTTACTGTTATTAATTTTATGGAAATTTTTCATTATGTCACTCTCACTTGTCCCCTCCCATTGGTCCCTCTCCCTTTTGTCCTCCCTACCTCCCTATTGACTCTCTTCTGCTTTCATCTCTCTCTCTCTCTCTCTCTCTCTTTCTGGCAGTACTGGGGTCTGAACATATTTTTTTTTTCATCTAGAATCTGCATATGAGAGAAAATATATGATGTTTGTCTTTCTGGGTCTGGCTCATCTCCACGTGATGATCTCCAGTTCCATCCATTTTCCTGCAAATGTCATAATTTCATTCTTTATGGCTGAATAAATACTCATTGTGTCACTATGCCACTTTTGCCTTATGCATTCATCTGTTGACAGGAACCTAAGCTGACTCCATGACTTGGCGGTTGTGAGCAGCGCTGCAGCGAACATGGCGTGCAGGCGTCTCTGCTGCATGCTGACTTTGCTTCCTTTGAGTGCATGCACAGGAATGGTATTACTGGGCCACGTGACAGTCCCATTTCTGGTTTTTTGCGGAGGCGCCATACTGATTTCCACAGTGGCTGCACTGGGTTCCATTCCCCCCCAGCTGTCTCTAGGGCCCCTTTCCCTGCATCCTGCCAGCATTTGATGCGCTTTCTTGATGACAGCCATTCTGGCTGGGGTGAGAGATGGAACCTCAGTGTCAGTTTACTTTGCATTTCCTAAATGGCTGAGGATGGTGAACTTTCTTTAGGGATTTAATGGCTGTTTGTACCTCTTATTTTCAGAACGGTCTGCTCGTTTGGGGCTGTGGGGCTCTCTTGCACCCACTTCCTGGCAGTCACAAGATTTTGAAGTGGCAAAAGCAGAATTTGAAACCAGGTCTATTTTTTCCCAAAGCCATGCACTCAACCCTTACGTGATTACGTTTCTATGTTCACGTTGTTTTATAGACAGTGTCTCATTAGCATCTCACAAACTGTCCTGTTAGTAAACAGTTCTAAGGCAGGCCTTAGCCTGGTTGGACCTGGCCAGGGCCACAGGGGCATCAGGATTTGAACTCCTGACAAGCCTGACTGAATCTAGTGTGCTTTTGCATTGGTGTGGTCTGGGTTCTAGAACTGGGGGTACTGGGGGTCCCTCCAGAGCTCAGTTTCTCCTGGTAAAGTGAGGACTCAAGATCTCACCACCATCTATGCTCCCATCCCGTCCACAGGACTCCTGTGACCCCTGTCACTCCAGTGCCATTTGACTCACAGGCTCAAACGCGGATGCTAATACTGGAAGCGTTCGACTCAGCAGAACTGAGTGGAGAGGTGGGAGGAAGAGGAAAAGAAAACGTGTCAGGACACAAGTATTACCTGTCAGCCATGGTCACTGCGTCCTACAAAGGAAAAAGAGAAAACAGCAAATTGACTGTGGAAATAAATGTCTTCCTCAAACTATTTCATAATGCAGATGCATTTAAAAACCTGCATTTAGAAGGAAAAAGAAATCAGTCGTGTCCACATCCTAACAAAACCACCAGCACACCTGGACATTTTCTGCCACCCTCCTGTCTTCCCCACTGATGGGATGCTGGCACTTGCCACGTCTGAGTGGAAAGAATGCAAGCGGTTCATTGGAAACGCCGCTTACTCACTGGCTCCTCTAGTGTTGGCTGTCTCAGTTGTGACTAATTTTTTTCACCATCATAAATAATGGTGAGAATGCAGTAGGCTGGTGGAGTGGCTCAAGTGGTAGAATGCTTGCCTAGCAAGCACGAAGCACTGAGTTCAAACCCCAGTGCCACCTACAAAAAAACAAAAAACTTTGCCTGGCACCAGTGGCTCACGTCTGGAATCCTAGCTACTCAGGAGGCAGACTTCAGGATGATCATGGTTAGAAACCAGACCAAGCAAATGTGAGACCCTATCTTGAAAAAAAGCCAATACAAAAACAGGGCTGGTGGCGTGGCTCAAATGGTAGAGCACAAGGTCTTGAGTTCAAACCCCAGTGCAACCAAACCAAACCAAACAAAAAACCGATAAATAACAGTGAGCGGAAGACCTTCACGTGTACCACCCTTCACATTTTGGGTGTGTCACACACAGTGGCCCTGTGGAACTGTAAGCATTGGCTCCCCTAGAGCCTGCGTTAGCCATAGGCCTCTTACCCCAAGCACAGTGGGAAGGAGGTGCAGCTGTGCCTGAGGGGCACACAGCCATTGTGGGACAATGTGGGGGTCATATCCCACAACCAGGACACTTCTGGAGACTGACGGCCCCTCCCCCACTCTGGACACCACATCTGCCCCATGTCCTGTGGGGACTTGTGAAGAAAGGGGACCCCATTTTTGACTGAGATTGAAATTTCCATAGTTCAACTACACGGGACTTGGGTCAGATTTAATTTGATTTGAGGAAAATTGAGAAATGCATTGTTTTTTTGGTGCATGTCTGAAGCTATGAAATAAGATGTATGATCCCTATCCTTGTAAAGGGGAATTTAAAGGTGCTTTTTTTAGCCAGGACAAATTTCTCTCCAGAGCTCCAAGAGTGTATCTGAGGTGACCAGAAATCTCTCAGGGCACTGGTTTTGCTCAGCTCCAGGATGAGGGGACAGGTTTCTGGGTAACCAGGACGGAGGAACAAAGGCAGGTGCTACCTTGCCAATGGTGGAAGGAAAGGGTCAGCTGTGTCCAAGCCAGCTCGGCCACTCATGTGAAGCTATGTGGATGAGGAGCCACCCCCTCCCCACCACGAACGTCCTGTGGAATCCACGGCTGCTGGCCACAAAAGTCGGTGTGGACGGCCCAGGAGGGAAGGCAGGCTAACGTGCCCTAATGGTAACCGCCATTTCAGTTTTGATTTGTTTCTCTTTACTTCATTACTGACCTTTAAGAAATCAACCTTCTCCTGGTGACACATTCTCCTCTATTGTCTCCATCAGTTCTTTGCAGTCTCGAGGTTTTCCCCACAGCTGACCAGCTGTCCATACAAGGATTCCAGCTTCTCTTTCTTTTTCTCCCCTAGAGCCTGTATTTTTTCCTCATATTTTTGAGCAAGTGTTTCCAAGATCTTCATTGTAGTGGACTCAAAGTTTTGTTCTTGTCTTCCAAAATTCTCCTGCAACAGACAGCAGCCATCATTTCAACGTGTGATGGATGGACTAGAGTCATTGGGGGAGGCGTGAAATGTGTCTCCCCAGAGCTGTTTCTGTCTCTCTGCTCCTACCTCTTACCAGAATGCTGGGGGAGCCAGGACAGAGCAGTCTCCATTCTAGATCCTCAGGAGTAATCTTAGCAGTGTTTTGCAGTCTCCTTCCGGTTTTTAGCTACTTCCTATCACCATGACAACCATCGAGGGAGAGCATCCCTGATGAACCAGGCTGTAACTGGAGTCTTAGACCTTAAGTGGAACTGTTTCCCAAAGCTCACGTTCCCTTCCTGATGCTTAGATCAGGACCAACTAGGGGAAAGATGAAGACAACGAAGGACAGGGTTGTGGCCAGGTGGCACTGCCCACATGGATGAGGAACTACAGGAGGCTAGGGGCAGGTGTGGTCTTTAATCTGGGAGCACGAGGCACAGGAAATATCACGTACAGCATATGGACTCTGAGTCTCTATTCCTTACGTCGAGGCCCCAGAGAGTTCTGTGGATTGATGGACGCATTGTTTATCAGATGATGGGACAGTCCCAAAGCGGAGATTGAGTTGTTCGAAGCCATTGCTAAGCATCTACTGAGTGCATAGAATGGTGAGAGAGAAAAGCAATATATCTCCCTGCTGTTGAGGTAAATGGATGCCTCGGAGTCTTCATGGGGGTTGAAGACACTTGATCTGACGGTAAGCTGGCAGGACAGAGCACAGGCATTTCGTCCTGGCTGTCCCACTCTTGCCCTCACACTGGAAGAAGGACCCACTCTCTGCACTTTCCATGGGGATTAGTGTGGTAGCATTTTTCCCTTGTGAGGGTGAGGGTGAGGAAGCTCCAGCCTTTGTGGAAAGGGACCTGGGGTCTTGCCCATTCATCTGAGGGCCCATCCATGCAATCTGCGGCCGCATTAATAGAAATCGAGCACCCACATGAGAGGAGAGGGACCTGGGCAGCCCTCAGCCTTGGGACTGTCTCATCTGGGCTGAGCTCTGGCATCACAGGGACGTGCTACACACCTACAAGGGAACACCCATAATAAGGACGCTCAGTGATCTTGTGTGAATGGGTAACAGCTGAGGAAAAGAATGCTTATCAAAGACAGGATGTGGTTCTAGTGATGGCTCAGCAAGGCGGGCCCAGGAAAGCGCAACTGGCCATGTTCCGTGGATCTCTGAAGCCTGTGTGACCAGTGGCACAGTTGCAGCAGGCTTGGCCCCTGGATGAAAAGCCTGCATTTTTTTCCACATCAGGATGGGAAGAAAGATGGATCTTCAAGGATGGGATGGGCTTCCAACCTTGGGATTCTGAATTCTTACTGATCTCTCAGGAAAGATGGCTAAGTAGCTAACTAGACAAAGACAGCACACAAGCTTATTTTTTATAATCCCCATGCGTGGATTGTTATGTCTGTGTTTTAGCAGCAATCACTGGCAGAAGAGGTTATTGCCTCATAAAACAACTAAAAACTGACATTCCACACCTGACTATGGAGTTGACATGACAGGTACCCATCAAAGGCCTACAATTAATAATCTCAAAGAACCCCTGTGTGGCTCACGCCTGTAACCTTAGCTACTCAGGAGGCAGACATCAGGAAAGGCCAGCCCAGGCACATAGTTCGAGAGACCCTATCTCGAAAAAAAACATCACGGAAAGGGCTGGTGGAGTGGCTCAAGGTGTAGGCCCTGAGTTCAACACCCGTATCGCAACAAAACAAAACAACAACAAAAAAACCCACTGCGTCTGGATACATAGCCAGTGCATCACTTAGCGCCCAAAGGATTCTTAATGTGTGAAATCAACCTCCCAAACCAAAACAAAACAAAACACCAAGGGCAAAAGAAAGCTGTTCACTGGGAAGGTTGAGTAGCTCAAGTGGTAGAGTGCCTGCCTAGCAAGTGCAAGGCCCTGAGTTCAAAACACAGTACCAGTACTGGAAAAAGAAAGCTGTTCACCTCTTCACCAGCTGGATGTGATCTTTGTTAGACTACTGGGGCCCGAACCACATACAGCTGGCAGTGTGAATAGAAAGTTGCTTTCTGTTCATCCATGCAACTGATATACATAAAATGCCTCCCCTGAGACACCACGCAGTGGCCTGGGGGAGTCCAGAGCCCATCCTCCCACCCAGAGCACTGCAGGTAATGCTGACAGGTGGTGCCCTGGTGCAGTGGGAGGCCCAGGGAAGGAAGAGGGGGGAAGGCAGTGGGGACAGCTCACATTCTAGAAAACAAGTCTGATAACTCATTCTAGAAACAGCTGTTTGGCCTTGCTGCTGACAGAAGCCAGGTGTGTCAGTGAGGTCCCCAAGCAACCCCTTACCTCTACTGTGATGAAAACCTCCTCCAAGTGACTTGCAAAGTTCTCCATTTCGATGATCTGCTTTTCTAGTTTGTACATGTTTTTGTGTATCTCCTCCTAAAGCATCACAAAGAAGCTGTCAGCACTCATCTGTTCTGCCTCTTGTCGCGGATGTGACATGAGGACAACCAGCCAAGGAGGTCTCCTTACCTTGGCGCTTTCCAGGGCTTTGTTGAGAGGGGTCACTTCATGCTCCCTGTGGTCATCAAAGTTCTTCCCGTCAGCTCTTACTGGAATCTTGCAGGTGACACAAAAGACGTCAGCAGCCTCCTCTTCGTCCTCCTCCTCGGGGATAACATAGCACTCATACTCCTCGCTGGCTCTGCCCTGTGTGTACCTGTAGGCTTCCCGCAAGTCCTGGCACTGGCCCGCCAGGCCCCAGCCTCCATAGCCCAGCTCCTGGGCCTCAGCTGCCTCTGTGCTCCGTCTCCAGTCGCTCTGCTCCCCAGCTGCGTCAGTCCTCTTCATCCCATAAGGGGGATACCCGGAACCCCTCATTCTGTGCTCGTCAACGAACAACTCATCATCCCCTATCTCATGATCATCTTCGAGCCCATATAAACGGGCAAGCTCGCCCACGTCCTCGTGGAGGTCTCTCTGATCCTTACCTTCCCCTTCCCCGCTTGGCTCGCCGGTCACTTCAGCTTGGACTGTTTCTCTCCTAATTCTAGCGTTTTCTGCTGGGAAGATCTGCAGTCTGTCTTCAGAGTCGTACAGATCCATGTGATAGAACTGGAAGACTCTGGGGGCCGGGGTGCTGTCGAACCCAGGTTCTTCCCCGGCTTCCTCCTCCATTGTAATTCTGGACGTCCTGGGGAGCTCCTCTGTTCAGAGCGATCCTTCCTGCACAGATGGGTCCTAGAACACAAAAGGGAAAACATTAACTTGCAAGGTCACTGCAGTAGGTGACCATGACGTTGGGGTCTACTCATTCCAGTTTTTAAATCGGCAGAGCGGCTTCACTTTGAACCACCTGTAAGGAACAGTGTTCTTAGCTGGGTGTGGTCGTGCATGCCTATAATCCCAGCACTCAGGGTGCTGGTGGCTCACACCTGTAATCTTAGCTCCCTGGGAGACCGAGATAGAAGGATCATGGTTCAAGGCCAGCCTGGGTAAATGGTTCTCAAGGCCCCATGTTCAAAATAACCAGAGTAAAATGGGCTGGAGGTGTGGTTCAAGTGGTAGAGCACCTGCTCACAAGTAGAAAGCCTGAGTTCAAACCCCAGTCCCACCGAAAAAAGAAAAAAATCCTGGAGGAGATTATGTGAAGGGACAATTTGAAGTACTGGTATCAATGCTGAGAGTGAATGACATTTAATAAGTGCATAAGAGGAAAATTCTCAAGCTCAGGTTTCTAGTTCTTTGCTTCCAATGAAATCGGAAGAGGATCTAGTCAAGTTGTCAGCTGATATATTACCGAAAATAAATTTTCCATGCTGTATAATTTTGTCACACGTTTCAGAAAGAGGTCACGGGATTGAGTGGCATTCCTAAATTGCTTCTGCTTCCATCTACTTTTGCAGGTGAGCAAGACCACCAGTGCTCATGTCGATAGAACGAGAAACAGGAGGCCATTCGCTCCTATTCCTGTTGCATTCTGGAATGTGTAATTTTCACCCACGGATACAAGAGTCTAAAAATAGAAGAAAATCCCATCCACTTCATTAAGAGGTGTATTTTCCCTCCTTCCCTTCCTCCCTCCATCCTTCTCTCTTCCTTCCTCTTTTTTTTTTTTTTTGGTAGTATTGGGGTTTAAACTCAGGGTAGGTGCTCTACCACCTGAACTACACCCAATCCTTATTTTGATTAATAATTATTTATCAAAATTTATAATGTACCCATGCTGTTTTGCTTACAAGCAAACTGGTAAGTTAATTCAGAAGAAAAAAAGAGGCCTTTTTTTTTCTTTTATTCATATGTGCATGCAATGTTTGGGTCATTTCTCCCCCCTTCCCCACCCCCTCCCCCCTCCCCCTCCCCCTCTTCCCCCTATTATTTAGAGACTTATGGGTCCAGGAAAAAAAAAATTTAGGAGTGGAGGTGTGGCTCAAGTGGTAGCACTCCTGCCTGGCAAGCACGAGGTCCTGAGTTCAAACCCAGTATGCCAAGATAAAAAGAAAAAAATTTAGATCTCAAGTCATACATGTGTAATTTTATAGGAAAGTATTGCAGATAATCAATAAATGAATTTCCAAGCTTAGAAAAGCATTGTTAGGACAAAATTCTGCTGAGAAGTAAAGTTCAAGGAGAAAAAGGAACCAGTAAAATTTCTAAGATTACAGATGAGCTTGTTTTACATTTTTTTAAGATACTTGACGAAGGAGAACAAATTGCTATAGTACTTATGAATTCCTTGAATAAATTTAAAAGGGTTATGAAGTAGTTTTATTTGAAAACATGGCTATTTACAATGTCAGAAAGTATGTCTTTTACAGGTATTTTATACTTTTCAAAGTAACAGCTTTCTTAAGGTATTATTTACTGGCCTCCTGTTGCGTTCTTACTCTGGCTGTATGGGAAGAGGAGGGAGAGATGCCCCAGATACACCTCAGCCCAGTCCCCGGGCCTGGTCTGTACTGTGAATGGGAAGGCATGGGGTGGGAGGAAGGAAAGGATATAATTTATTAGGGGATCAGCCTAGGTGACCCTTACAGGTGAATGGATACAGAAAACATGGTCTAAATCCACAGTGGTGTATTAGTCAGCCATAAAGAAAAATGAAGATGGAGGAGTGGCTCAAGTAGTGGAGAGCCTTCCTAGCAAGCATGAAGCCCTGAGTTCAAACCCAGAACCACTAAAAGAGGAAGAGGAAGAGAAAGAGAAAGAAGAGGAGGAGAAGGAAAAGAAGAAAAGAAAAAAGCAAGCAAGAAAGGGAAGGAAGGAAGGAAAGAAGGAGGAGGAGGGAGGGAGAGAGGAGGAGGAGGAAGGAAGAAGGAAGGAAGGAAGGAATCATGTCATTTCCAGGAAAATGGATGGAACTGGAGATTACCATGTCAGATAAAATAAGCCAGACTCAGGAGACAAATATTGTATGTTTTCTCTCATATATAGAATCTAGATTTTTTTTTTTTTGGTGGTACTGGGGTTTGAACTCAGGGCCTCAGTGTTTGCAAGGCAGGTGCTCTCCCACTTGAGCCACTCCACCAGCCCTGGAATCTAGATTTTTTAAAAAAGACATAAAAGTAGACCAGGCACAGTGGCTTAAGCCTGTAATCCTAGCAGAGATTGGGAGGACTGTGGTTTTTAGGGCAGCCCAGGCAAAAAGTTTGTGAGACCCTATCTCAACTGATAAAAGCTGAGTGTGGTGGAGCACTTCTGTCTTTAGTCCACCTGGGCTTCTGGCTGCTGCCTCTGCTCTCGGGGTCCTGCACCTGGTCAGGACCAGGGGGCAACAGAGAGTGACCTGGGAAGTCTGCACCCACACAGACGTCTTCTGGGGAAAGTTGAGGTCACTGAATGCCTGCGAGTGGCCTTGGGCATCCCTTAGTCCTCCTGACACCGAGTGTTCATGGGGCTGGTGAGGTGTATGGATTCAGCAGAACAGGATGCATGTGTGTGTGTGTGAAAACAGAATAATGAAACCTATGAAAAATTGCTTTGAAAGGGGCAAAGTTGGGATAAGAAAGCAAAGTACAGGGACTGCTTTGATCAAACTACATCATATGTATATATGGAAACATCACAGTGAAGCTCCTTTGTACAATTAATATATGCTGAGAAAGAGAGACAGAGAGAGAGAAAGAGAGAGAGAGAGAGAGGTGGGAAGAGGGGCTGGGGTCTGGCTCAAGTGGTACAGTGGCTGCCTAGCAAGCAGGAGGCCCCCGAGTTCAAACCCTAATACTGCCAAAAACTATCTACATACATGAATAAAAAGGGAGGGGAGAGGACAGAGCAGGGCAGGGGAGGGGAGGGGAGGGGAGGGGAGGCGAGGGGAGGAGAGTAGGATGTGCCAGGCGCTGGGGACAGTGAATAAGACATGACCATCACTTTTGGCCACACACAATTTGTGTGTGTTGGGTATTTTTGAGAAAGGGTCTTGTGAACTATTTGCCCTGGCTGGCTCCAAACCTCCTTCCTCCTGATGTCTTCCTCCTGAGCAGCTGGGATTGCAGATGTGAGCCACTGGCGCTGAAGCAGCTCAGATTGGAAGAAGGCATCAGAGCTGGGAGGCCTCACAGTCAAGGGCAGACATGGGCCTTGAGGTCACCTAGTCCCCATACAAGAGCACCCCAGGACCCGAGGCAGAGACGTGGCATTCCAGGGACAGAGGGCCCCTAATTCAATCTGCTGATTTTAGGATGCCAAACTGAGTTCCTGGGAGGACAAGGGGCTTGCCTTAGCTGATTGCCCTTACCAAGTGTTGAACTGGGCTGCTCTGTATCTAGCCTGTGCTGGGTGCAGGACACACAGACGGTCACATGAAGAGCTTGGCCCAGACCCAGGTTTTCACTAAATCACACTGCCTATGGTGGATTGAGGAGTGACCCCCTAAAAATAGCACCTCCACTTCCATGTGCTAATGAGAGAGAAAGGACCAGAATTCTGCATAACCCTTAAGCCAACCACAAGAAACTCTTTCAACTAGAAGCTGGAAAGGGAAGCACTGAGTCGAAGTGTTCAGAAGACAGGAGTGCGAAGCCTGGAGGACCCTGAGCACACCTGCAGACAGGAACTGACCCTCATGGCTGGCCAGCACCTGCCCCTCAGACACAAACACAAGCTCATCTGGTGCCCAGTGTCCAGGCAGGAACTTGGCAACACAGCGCACAGTTACCATGAACTTTTCCTCAGTACCCACACTCTGTGTTTCTTAATGGAATCAAGAAAGGAACATGGATGGCAAACTGTCGTTTTGTAAAGTGTGAAATGAAGGCTCAGAGAAGTCATAAATCACAGCGACCTCTGTGCCATAAAGTGGCAGCTTAAAAACCAACCAACCACCAGGCACCACTGGCTCACGCCTGTCATTCTAGCTACTCAGGAGGCAGAGATCAGGAGGATCATGGTTCAAAGTCAGCCAGGCAAATAGTTCGTGAGACCCTATCTCAAAAAAACCCTTCAAAAACTAGGGCTGCTGGAGGGGCTCAAGGTGTAGGCCCTGGGTTCAAACCCCAGTACTGCAAAAAAAAAAAAAAAAAAAAAGCTTAAGTTTCAGGTGCGAGGTATGTCCTGTTTTGTTTTTTCCTAGTTCTGGGGACTGAACCCAGGGCCTCATATGCTCCATCACTTGAGTCATGCTCCCAGCACTTTGCTTTTAATTTGTCATTGAGATCAGTCTTGCTAACTTTGGTCAGCCTGGCCTTGGACTGTGATCCTCCTGCCTCTACCTCCCGAGTTGCTGGGATTACAGACATGCATCACCACACCTACCTTGTCCTTGTTTTACTTAGAAAAAATCTCTCTGAAAACGTTTTTAACCTTCTATGGATCTGAAGATTACTGAAACCTGTGAATTCACAGGTTTAGAGATAACACCATAAGGGCTGGAACATAACTTTGCCTATAATTATTGGCAGCTCAGGCCTGGGGGCATGGTTCTTGAGGCAGAGCCTGCCTAGAAGATACAAGGCCTTGAGTTCAAACCCCAGGACTGCCAACAATAACAAAAATATTATTATTATATAAGCACATCCACTTAGTACCTAGCAATTCCTGAGCTACAGCTAAAGAAATTAGCCTTCAAATGTTAGCTACACAGTTATGTAGACAGTTCCAATCAACCGTCTACATAACTTTGTGCAGGAGGAGGCCTGCTGCACAACAAGCAAGAGGCTACTGGAATGATGTTTTTCAGTATTGTAATCAAAGCATGAAATTACCATTTGCCAGCATGTATAGGCAGATTAAAATTAACAAGATTTTATCACCCCAATGTTAAGCCTGATGACATTGACATCTGGGGTTCCAGCAAATGGGCCCTGCAAGGAAAACACCCGAAAAACACATTGCAAGAATCATGAGCCTCTCTCTACTTTTGTGAGATCCTTTCATCTTGGTACCAACACCATTCTCGGTAAATGCGAATTCCGGCTGCATAAAGGCACAGGAGACATTTAACCTTTAACGGGTACAGTTTCCACTGAGATCCCATCCTATCTAAAGGAAAGTGCTGCATCCACACAGTAGCTGGCACTCAGTTGAGTTTCTAATAACACAGCCTGCAGTAGAATAATCTGATTATCCAAAAACTTGCCTGCTACTGTAAGGGTCCACAAATGCTCCTTTTAGCTCAGAGGACCGAATTTCTGCTATAAAACTGGATCCGTGTTCCGGAGGCTTCCCTCCCCGCTGACCTCTGCGTGCCCACAGGGTGCTCCTCCAGTCTACCCCAGGATTCTGCAAGACGGTCACCAAAGCGGGAGGTAATATGACCAACCCCGGCCACAAATAGCAACAGGCCTGCCTGGAGTGAAAGTCCAAATATAGCTACCTCGCTGGCCTCCACCTCTCAAGTGTCACAGGAGAGGTCACACGCTGTGCTCTGAGTTGCTGCATTTACCGGGGGTGCTTGAGACCTGTGGCTTATCTGCTAGCCACATGCAGAGGGGGGATGTCACAGCAAGGCCCGGTGGGGAGATGTCTGTGTGCCTTCGACGTGGGCTTTCCCAGCGTGCTAGGAAAAGCCCAACTCTGGACATTATCAAAGGCAGCTTCTCTTTTCTGTCGCCATTCCTTTAAGTGTGCTCGAAGTGGAATGGTTCTCTTCTCTGATGAAAATCCAACAGACCTGATGACTTTCTGCTCCTAGGCGCACTCAAAGTCACAGCCTCATAGTCAGCAATGGAACATCCAGCTCAACAGATCCATCCAAAAGCTTGGACCTCCTGAGTAGGAAGCCTTCCCGGGAGAGGAAGAGCAGGGTGGACCTGACCTTTCCCTACTCCACCCCAGCTGCTGGCTGGGCCCGGGGGCAGAAGCCTACAGCAATGAACAAGCTTCTTCCTACTTGAGTCGACTCCACGTGGGTGCTAACTGTTGGATCTCATCTCTTGCGATTCCCATCCTGGAGACGTAAAAGTTGCTTAGAAGCTGCCTTTGCTGAGAAGCCCTGGTTCCTCTCGTGGGCCTGCACGTGTCAAAGGGGAACAGAAAGCAGGACAGAAGCTTGACGTCTCTGTCTCCATCTTGTATCTGTGACCTCTGCTCTGAGCCGTTCTCTCTGCAGTCACCTTGAGAATCAGGAAGGTCAGGACTGAGGGATGACATCCCGTGACAGGAGTGGGCGCTACCCCACAGGCACCAGTGGCTTTCTTACCATGACCAGGCCCCGGCTGACCGGTCCTGAGATATGAGCAATTTGACCAGCTCTGACCTCCTGTGACCACAGGCCACACCTGTGACCAGGACGGCTTAATAAATCACGCACGCCTCTCGTCCCTGCCCAATTCTTCCTCTATTTAACCTAGAGCTCATTCTGTGCCTTGAAGCTGGA